TATTGAAGTAATAGAAAATTTGGTATAATATATATTATATCGATAGAATATCTGCGAGGCCAGTAAGGAACGTTCCAGAATGCTTAGCATTATCGGATTACACGAGTGATGTTCGGAGTTTGTATCGGGTGGTTCTGAGAAGTGAAGATGATCTGTAATTTTTGTTGATTTCAAGGAACGAATTTGCTATATTAACAATCTGCGTTATGTCGCCAAGAAATAGACTATCTTAAAACATCAAAGAATGTTTCTCCGTTCGATTAGGGAATTCCAGGATACTATATGCATTGTCAAATCATATCCGGTCAATATAAGAAGAAGATAAAAGAAATTTTGAATAAATTGCTGTTCGAAACGTAACACTCACAATTAGGAATTAAAATTAGGAACCTAGAGACATAACAAAAGAATGCACTTGAACATTATTTTTACAAACAATGTTATCATTACGATTTATGATAAGACATACAAAAACATATCCCGATTGTGAATGTATTAAATACTCCTAATGTTATAAAAATGTATTTTACTTAGGAAAGTCTATTATTTTTGCAAGAAACATTTGTACAAATTTCACAATTAATATACCACAAATATATAAATAATTCTCTATTCAGAACTGTATTCCTCGAAAACTGAAAATAAAGAAGAAAAACATTTGTTTGATTTGTATTTAGCATATGAAAGTCTATAAGAACCGGCTATTAAATGTCGAAGAATATGAAACAAGTGGAAGAGTATAAGACAGTATAACTTATGTAGTTTTAGAAAAATTATAATATAATACTATATTACGAATATATAATAAATGTTATGACGACCACAATTTAACGTAACAGTTAATGTGGTAAATCCTACTGATTAGTATTCTCCAACCTATTTGATTTTCAAATAAATCCCCTGCGGAGTAACTACCAAACGAATCCGAATTGAACGAGCAACACTGAGAAAATACAAAAGTCTCAACGGGGAGCGGATTTTTCACAAAAAATTCACCAGTAGTTCAAACTGGTAACGTAAAAGTTGTCGAAGTCCATGAAGGAGTGTTCCACCCTCGCTGCCAGCCGTTTTCTGCTGAACTTGCGTAGACAGTGATGCTAGCAATAAGGAGCGCTGACCTGCTGTATACAGGGTGTTCCATTTTAACCTATAAATGTAATTATCCCTGAAACTCGTTACTTAAAAAATGTCTTAAATGATATTTTTTCCCTTTTTAAATGGTAATAATTTGGTACACTTAGTTTGCTTCTAGATAAAGATTTAAAAAATTTGGAAAATCTTAAGGAAATTTAATTAATTCAATACATGATCACAATAATTTAATTTCAAACAAAGAATTGTATTATTTAAATGTAACTGATGCTACAGTAAACGTGTTAGAAGACGGTGAAATCATCTAACTCATTATTTATAATTCATGAATTTATTATTTATAAGAATTTTACTGGTAAGTTTATCATCATTTGCGATTAATGAAGCTACAAAATATATTTATATTAGAATATAAAAAGTCTTATATTTTACATAATATTGTCTTGTAATTTGTTTTGTTAAACTGAAATGCAAGAATCACAAGTTAATCTCATTTAATTGGAGTAGAATCATTTTTAGAATTTATTTACTTCTCCCTTGTAGGAAATTATTCAAGGAAAAACTATTAGAAATTTATTATCATTTAATTATTAATTTGTTGTAATATTACCAACACTCGCATTACCAACACAACATTCTCGAAAACACTCGCAATCAGTTATCGCTTTACCCGTTTGTTGTACTGTGTACGTACAAATGGCGTCAGATTATCTCTGATGTCCACGAATGTCACAGTTGATATACAGCTACTCAAGGGGGACTCCGTTTGAGTTGCAGATCGGCTTGTTTATCCAAAACTCACATTCAGGACGTTGACAGAGAATCCATCTCTGTCAACCGAAGTAGGCAGGGAGTACACAGAGATGATTAGTGTACTTCAAATGAGGCAGAATGAAATACGAATGCAAAATCCATCGCGTCCAATCTCTTGTTTTTATCATCTTATTCTGTTGGCGAAAATATTCAATCCAGTTTACAATAAATGCTACAGCTATCA